AATGTTTTCTAACAGGTGCCAGTATTTATGTATAGCCTTCAGAATATCATCGGTGATATGATTAAATGTCAGAGTGCTGTGCAAGCGATTCATTTGTGGTCTATTTTAATTTTTTTAACAGTTCCAGTCTTGATTTGTCAGCTGCTTTGGGTATCACCTGTTGTGGATAATCCTTGTCTCTAAGGTGCTATGCAGACCAGCGCAAAGAGCTGGCCTGGGGGTAGAGTTAAAGTGGGGCAGTTGCACGCTGGCCGCCCCGACTCCACCCCGATGCCATCCTGATGCTGCACGCCCGTCCGCACGGTGCACGGCGTCAGGATGCCCTCCTGGCGCAGTGTGTACACATGCTGCACTAAAAGGACGCAAAAGAGCCGTGGTAGTGGCTGTAAGGGCGGCCTTTTGCCGCCCCCAAAAGGAGCAGCATTTTGCCGCTCTTTCTGGGGTAGCAAAAAAGAGGATTGGGGCAGTGGTGTGTGGTTGTCGTGGCCCCGATTCGCCGCTCTGTGCCACCTTAATCAGGCCCTAGTTGTTTGGGCAGTAAGTCAGATTCCACCTTAAAGTCCTCTTCATGAGATCAATTGTGTTTAAGCCATAGGAACTGACCATATGGGAGATTGTTCCTCATGGTAGTTGGATGGTTACTATCAAAAGTTACCTTATTTTCCTGCGTATAAGACTACTTTTTAACCTGCAAAATCTGTGGTTAAAGTGGGGGGGGGTCGTCTTATATCCCGGGTGTATGTGTTAGCATCTATTGGTTTCTTATATAATGAGGCAGTAAAATGATCTCCCTCTTTTGTTATCCTCAGATCCAAAAAGTGGATTTCTGTCTTACTGTAATTAAATTCAATTTTAACATGTCTGCTGATGTTATTAATTGTTGTATGGAGCTGTTTTCGTCTTCATTATCACGTTTCCAGATATAAAATATGTTATCTAAAGATCTAGCCTAAAATATGACTTTCCCCTTGTATATGCAATTAGGGTGAACTGTTATTTTTTCAAATTCCTCCATATAAAGATTAGCCACTTCAGGCACCATTGGGGACCCCATAGCCACTCCCTTAATTTGCCAATAATATTTTTCTAGGGATTTGCTGTTTAGGGAAACACATGTAGAATTGTCATCCAGGGAGCTCTTAGGTCTCACTGAACTACAAACCCCAGAATGCAACAGGAGGCAGACAGAGCAGTAAAAGTGGAATAACAGCACTATAACAGTGTAGTGCAGTAATCTCCTCCTAGGAACTATAACTTCTATCCACTTCTGTTTGTACTACCCTTCTGTGATGCACAGACTGACAAGCTAATGGGGAAATTACAGTATAAGACCAAGCCTGAACCCTGATGGTCAAGCAGAGAACACACATAGAAGAATCAGTAAAAGGGAAGGCAGAGGCAGCATCTACACTGCAAAAATAATCCAGTTTGAGACCACTGTAACTGACATGGCACAATGCTGTGGAATTCTGGGAACTATGAGATATTTAGGCCCAAAACACACTGCAGAAACAATCCAGTTTGAAACTGCTTTATCTGCCCTGGCTCAATGCTAGGGAGTTCTGGGAACTGTAGTTTTGTGAGACATTTAGCATTCTATGCCAGAGAGCTCTGGTGCCACAACAAACTACAATCCCCAGGGTTCCCTAGCACTGAGCCAGAGCAGTTAAAGAGCTCTCAAACTGGATTATTTCTGCAATGTGTTTTGGGCCTTAGTCTTCTCTGTTAGAGAGCTCTGGTGGCACAACAAACTACAATTCTCAAATTTTTATAGCATTGATCTATGGCAGTTAAAGCAGTGTCAAACTGGATTATTTCTGCAATGCAGATGGCCTCAGAGTAACACTTGAATCACATTCAGTGACAAAGCGAGGGCAATATATTCTGTGGTTGTGTGCCTTCAAGTTGTTTCTGACTCTATCCATGGGGTTTCCTTGGCAGGTTTTCTTGAAAGTCCATCACAGGCTGCCGACAACCCATCATGTCATAAGCTAAATATGGATAAAACAGAGATCCTGGTGTTTCAGCCTGACCATCCAGTAGCCCCACTTTCATGTCCTTCATTGTGCTTACAGGGTTACACACTGACCCCTGTCTCTGTTGCCAGAAAACATGGAGTCCTGCTAGATGACCGCCTGCCCCTTTATGTAACTTCCATCTTCAGAGCATCCATAGGATCCATAGGTTTTTGACTGTCAAGATTGCCCATTTGCTTAGTTATTTCATACCTGGAATACTGTAATACTTAGAATGTTTATTGTATTGATGTGCATTGTGTGTTCAGCTAATTTTAATGTATCATTGATTTAATATATTTTTAAGGGGGAGTGATATGTTTATGATATTTGTATGATATTTGTATTGTATAGGGTTGTATTTTAGATTGTAAGCCGCCTGGATAGCCTTGGCTTAAGGCGGGATATAAATAAAATGTTGTTGTTGTTATTATTATTATTATTATTATTATTATTATTATTATTAGCCTACTGGCAAGTTTGCATTCCTGCTCTCTTATTCTTCTGATTTTAATCTAGAACAGCGCTGTCCAAGTTGTTTTACATTTCCCTCACTACTCACATGACTCTTTCCCTTGTAGAGCCCTCCAGTTTGGGCCAGGGCTCATTACCACCTTTTGGTCCTGGTATTTAAGCTGCTGCACTTTAACCTCCCCTAGTATTTGACAGCTTGGCAGGCATAGTATGTACCATCTAGAAATTTAATATCTGCAGACAAAAGATTATTGGCAGTTTCACCAACACATATGGCTCCGTCAAGGCTGCAAGCCTTTCAGGATCTGGCTCTGCATTTGTAGAACAGATTTCCTTTGCACCTCCGACTGGAGAAGCGTCTTACCTGTTTTTGTAAAAGGTTGAAGACCTTCCCCTTCGATTCACCAGATTAAGTTGCTGAGTGTGCCTAAAGTGGCAGAGATGGGTAGCGACTGATGAGAATTTTGTTTTTAGCATGTTAGTATAGTATTTTAGCATTTTATAGTATTATGTTTAGTGAAAAGGGGATTAAAATACTGTTTGTTGGACTATAAGATTCTGACAATCAGGGTTTGATTCCCCACTCAAGCATAAAAAATCCTACTGGGTGAACTTGGGCAAGTCGCACTCTCTCAGCCTCAGATTAGGGCCATGGTGAACCCCCTCTGAAGAAACTTGTCAAGAAAACCCTATGGACTTTATCACACAGGGGCAAACTGCAGAAATCCCATGCAGAAACGGGATTTAAAAGAAACGGGAATATGAGAGGTGTTGCTAGGTGGTAATACAGTATTGAATATTTGGGGTATGGTTAAGTTCTGAGAGATGGGAAGACACAACCAGGAAGCCCCTGTGGTATGGAAAATAAGAAGAAATTGGAGTTTTTGTGGGGAGGGGATCAATAATGAGGACAGCGACTGCTGGGAACCTATTTTTCTGCTTCAGCAATTGTGGACACCCCATCTCCCCAAGTCAAGGTTGTTGTACTCAAGGCCAGCCAAGAAAATACTATAGCCATTTCTCATGTCTGCGGCAAGCAAAAACATTTTTACTTCGGCAGGCTTTTTAACATAATAATCATGATAGGCTGGTTTGTATATGGGGTGTGTGTTTTAGTTATGTTTTTTTTTAACTTTTTGTATGTTTTTATGTTAATTTTATGCTGCTTAATTAGATGATTTTAACTGTTTTTAAATTCTTATTGTAACATTTTTATCTTGTGAGCCGTCTTGGGTCCCTTTCTGGGAGAAAGGTGGCATAAAAATGAAAATAATCATAATCATACTAAATGTCTTTTGGTGATAAACATAATATATTAAACAACCAGCAATTTAATAATAATAATAATAATAATAATAATAATAATATTTATTTATACCCCGCCCCTCTGTCGAACAATCGGGGCAGCTTACAGCAATTAAAATACCATACCTATCTCAGAATACACTCTAAAATTGCAAAGCCCACCCACCCCTTAAAAAGTATTAAACCAGATATCCATTAAAACAACTTTGCTGCCCTTTCATGACACTCCAAACCACATAGTTGCCTGAGGTAGCTGTCTTGCAAGTAGAGATTGAGGCCACTTTAACTGCCCTGGCTCAGTGCTAGGGAATCATGGGAATTGTATTTTTTTCTGGGACATTGAGCCTTCTCTGCCAGAGAGCTCTGGTGCCACAATAAACTACAGTTCCCATGATTCCTTAGCACTGAGCCAGGACAGTTAAAGTGGCCTCAATTTGCACTATTCCTGGCAGTCTGTAAAGGCCCTTAGTGTCAACTCTGCTGTTGGATTTATACAGAAGCCAAATAAGCTAAAAGCCTCTGATTATGTGGGACCTTTTAATAGTTGTTTAAAACACCAACAGTTGTTACAACACACATTTTGGTCATCATAGGCCCTGACACTGTTTAAACTCAAAGTATGTCTTAGTCCTACACTTTGTAGTTGTGTGTTGTGTGCCTCCAAGACATTTTTTGACTTCTGATGATGCTAAGGTGAACCTATTATAGGGTTTTGTTGGACAAATTTAGTACTGTACTATACTTATTCCTTTACTATCCCGCTTTCATGAGCTTTCAGTCTTGCAAAATGTCTTTCAAATTAGGTCTCACAACAGTGTATGTGTGCGTGTTGTGTGCCTTCCATTCAATTCTGACTTATGGTGATCCTAATCATGGGGTTTTCTTGGCAAGATTTCTTCAGAGGAAGTTTACCATTGCCTTCACCTGAGGCTGAGAGAGTGTGACTTGCCCAGTGGGTTTCACGGCCTGGCAGAGAATCGAACCCTGCTCTGCAGAGTCGTAGTCCAGTACTCAAACCACTAGGGCATGCTGGCTCTGTGAGAGGCAGGTAGGCTCTTTCTTTTCCAGCTGAGAACTTTTAAACAAGGGATGGGAAGATGGGAGATCGGAGAGCATGGACACTGTTCTTGAGCTTAGCTTCGTTGAAAGGTCGCCAAGGCTGGAGCGGGTCTAATGGTCACTGAGAGTAGCTTCTGTATCCCATCTGCCTGCCTGATGTAGTGGTTTGAGCACTGGACTGTAACTCTGGAGATCAGGGTTCGAATCCCCTCAGCCATGGAAGCCCACTGGGTGACCTTGGGCAAAGTCACACTATCTCAGCCTCAGAGGATGGTAATGGGAAATTCCCTCTGAAGAAATCTTGCCAAGAAAACGGTGATAGGATTGCCATAAGTCAGTCACCATGACATGGAGGCACACAACAACAACCCCATTTGTAGACCCAGTGTGTTGTAGTGGGGTGGGCATTGGACTGCGACCCTTCAGATCAGGGCCAGGGTGACCCAACGTCCTCCTTTCCCAGGGCATGTCCTCTATTTCAGCCTTCTGTCCAGGAGAAATTCCCAAATGTCCCCTGTTTTGAACATGGCAAAGAAGCATGAATTTATATTTATATGAATGCATTCAGTTTTTGTTTTGTCATGTCCTCAATTTTTTCCCCAGGGCATGTCCTACATTTCAGCCTTCTGTCCACGAGGAATTCCAAAACATCCTCCATTTGGAGAATGATGAAGAAGCGTAAATGTACATTTATTTATATGAGTGTTTTTAACTTGCTCCTGCCTTCCATTCTTCCTTGGATGTCCTCCATTCTGAGCATGATGAACCAGCCTGGATTTATATTTATGTGTTTCTAGCTTTTACTTGCTTCTGTCCTCCATTCTTCCTTGGATGTCCTCCATTTTGAGCATGACGAATCCTGAATTTATATCTCTAGTTTTTAATTAGCTCATGTCCTCCATTCTTCCTTTAATGCCCTCCATTTTGAGCATGACGAACCCTGAATTTATATTTATGCGTCTCTAGCTTTTACTTGGTCCTGTCCTCCATTCTTCCTCAAATGTCCTCCACTTTGAGCATGAGACGCAGAAGCATATTTATGTGTCTCTGGCTTTTATTTGCTCTTGTCCTCCATTCTCCCTTGGATGCCCTCCATTCTGAACATGACGAAGAAGCTTGGATTTATATTTATGTGTGTTTCTAGCTTGTATTTAGCCCTGCCCTCCATTCGTCCTCGAATGCCCTCCATTTCTGCCTTGCCTTGTCCTCCCTTGCGGGCAGGAGGACCTCTGGTGAAACTGGATCAGGGTTCGAATCCCACCCACCTACCCCTGCTCGGCCATGGAA